ACCCGTCAGCTGCCTCTGGAGTCCCAGAGGCCAAAAAGATCTGATAGGACTCTTTCTTCAGCTTGACAGCATCCCTAACTGCTGGTGTCCACCAGCGGGTTCGGGGGTTACCACCACGACAGGCACCGACGATCCTGCGACCATAGCGATGGTCAGCCACCTCAACAATAGAGGCATGGAACAGGGTCCATTCAGACTCAGTGTTCCCCGCCTCCCCCGGAACATTTTGGAAGTTCTGTCGGAGGTGGGAATTGAAGCTCCTTCTGACAGGAGACTCTGCCAGATGTTCCCAGAGACCCTCGTGATACGTTTGGGCCTGCCTGATCTGACCGACATCCTCCCCCACCATCTGAGCCAACTCACCACCAGGTAGTGGTCAGTAGACAGCTCGGTCCCTCTCTTCACCCGAGTGTCCAAGACATGCGGCCGCAGTTCAGATGAAACAACAACAAAGTCGATCCTGGTGCCAAGAGCACATATGGACACCTTCATGTCTGAACATGGTGTTCATTATGGACAATCCATGACTGGCACATAAGTCCAATAACAAAACACCACTCAAATTCAGATCAGGGGGGCCGTTCCTCCCAACCACACCTCTCCGGGTCTCACTGTCACTGCCCACGTGAGCGTTAAAGTCCCCCAGGAGAATTAGGGAGTCACTGGAAGGAACGCTCTCCAGCACCCCCTCTGGGTAGTCTGAACTGTAGTTTGGTGCATAGGCACAGACCACAGTCAGAACCCGTCTGCTTCACAGATGAGCATCAACATACTGTATATGACACATTTTTAATGTCTTCGTCAGAGCCTCCCCAGAGCCGGCGGCTCTGACGAAGGCGGAAGTTCTGTCAGCTGAAGATAAAAAAAAAACATCTAATTACTTCGCTGTGTTAAATAAGAAAAAAGATGAAGATTATAGACTATATGTTGTAATAACCCACATAGTTGTTCAGCCTCTTGTTTTTTTAAATGTTGCACCATTGAACCATCTTTAACCCAGAGAGCATTGGGAAGTGATTGTAATTAGCGTGCTTTAGGAGAGAAATTAAAACATGATAAAATAAACAAAGAAAGACATTCTAAATTAAATGGGTAACCAGTGCCTGACATTAGGATAGGAGTGATGTGTGCTCCTCTGTTTTCTCCAGTTAGGAGCCTCGCTGCAGAGTTCTGGACCAAGTATTATTTTATCACATGATAAAATAAACAATGAAAGACATCTTGAGTTGTTGATTCATCACATTTCTGAGTCGGTTACTAGAATCTTTGGGAGTCATCATTTGAGACAAAAATATAAGACATTGTAAAAAGCGGAATAAGAGAATTTTATATTTTCACTAGTTTTATCCGGAATCATGAAGCGTACAAAGAAGTGTTTCTGTTTCTAACACATTTTGTGTTAAAAGGTTTTGTCTTTGAAAACCAAACATTCCTCTGAACAATAAACACTATTGTACGACCGTTCGACTGCTGTATATGTTCATACACAAGTGTATGTTTTCTGTAAGTGTGGGTAGGAGCACTGTCGGGTTCAGAGGTCAGCTGGAGAGGGCCGAGTCCAATCACATGCTCCTGATCCTGACCACACCTCTCACATCTTAGTATTCACAGCACAGAGCTCAACACAGCTCTCTATTCATCCAGTCGGTGTGAGCTGTAGCGTGGAGGGAGGCGAGACAAGGGTCAGGAAGGACAGGAAGGGACAGAGTGTATCAGATCGTCCCAGTTTAGGCCTTTTGTTTGGGTTGTGCTGTTTTAGGGATTGCTTTATTTGCTCTGGAAAGCAGAGAGAATGAAGACCAAAGAGCTATTTGGGAGAGGAGAGAAAAAGAAAAGAAGAGCAAGATGAAGAAAGTGTAACAGCAGCTGAATACACCTGATTTATTTAACCTGCTCTTAGATCAAAGGGTTGTGTTTTTTGTCACATGAAAATCATTATGAAAAATAAAGGAAACCTAGCCTGGCAAGCCAGACTAAATAAATACAGGTGCTGGCCAGTAAATTAGAATATCATCAAAAGGTTGAAAATATTTCAGTAATTCCATTCAAAACGTGAAACTTGTACATTATATTCATGCAATGCACACAGACCAATGTATTTCCAATGTTCATTACATTTAAATTTGATATTCATAAGTGACAACTAATGAAAACTCCAAATTTGGTATCTCAAAAAATTAGAATATTCTGAAAAGGCTGAATATAGAAGACACCTGCTGCCACTCTAATCAGCTGATTTACTCAAAACACCTGCAAAGGCCTTTAAAAGGTCCCTCAGTCTTGTTTTGAAGGCACCACAATCATGGGGAAGACTTCTGACTTAACAGCTGTCCAAAAGACAATCATTGACACCTTGCACAAGGAGGGCAAGACACAAAAGGTGATTGCTAAAGAAGCTGGCTGTTCGCAGAGCTCTGTGTCCAAGCACATTAACAGACAGGCGAAGGGACGGAAAAAATGTGGTAGAAAAAAGTGTACAAGCTCTAGGGATAACCGCACCCTGCAGAGAATTGTGACGACAAACCCATTCAAAAATGTGGGGGAGATCCACAAAGAGTGGACTGCAGCTGGAGTCAGCGCTTCAAGAACCACCACGAGGAGACTCATGAAAGACATGGGATTCAGGTGTCGCATTCCGTGTGTCAAGCCACTCTTGAACAAGAAACAGCGCAAGAAGCGTCTCGCCTGGGCCAAGGACAAAAAGGACTGGACTGATGCTGAGTGGTCCAAAGTTATGTTTTCTGATGAAAGCAAGTTCTGCATTTCCTTTGGAAATCAAGGACCCAGAGTCTGGAGGAAGAGCGGAGAAGCACAGAATCCACGTTGCATGAGGTCCAGTGTAAAGTTTCCACCGTCAGTGATGGTGTGGGGTGCCATGTCATCTGCCGGTGTTGGCCCACTCTGTTTCCTGAGGTCCAGGGTCAATGCAGCCGTCTACCAGGAAGTTTTAGAGCACCTCATGCTTCCTGCTGCTGACCAACTTTATGGGGATGCAGACTTCACCTTTCAACAGGACTTGGCACCTGCACACAGTGCCAAAACCACCAGCACCTGGTTCAAGGACCATGGTATCCCTGTCCTTGATTGGCCAGCAAACTCGCCTGACCTTAACCCCATAGAAAATCTATGGGGTATTGTGAAGCGGAGGATGCAATACGCTAGACCCAACAATGCAGAGGAGCTGAAGACGACTATCAGAGCAACCTGGGCTCTCATAACACCTGAGCAGTGCCACAGACTGATCGAGTCCATGCCACGCCGCATTACTGCAGTTATTGAGGCAAAAGGAGCCCCGACTAAGTATTGAGTGCTATACATGCACATTCTTTTCATGTTCATTCTTTTCAGTTGGCCAACATTAGAGAAACAAACATTTTTTCATTGGCCTTTAGAATATTCTAATTTTCTGAGATACCAGATTTGATGTTTTCATTGGTTGTCACCTATAAATATCAAAATTAAACGTAATAAACATCGGAAATACATTGGTCTGTGTGCATTGCATGAATATAATGTACAAGTTTCACGTTTTGAATGGAATTACTGAAATATTTTCAACCTTTTGATGATATTCTAATTTACTGGCCAGCACCTGTACATTATTCAGTCTGGCAATGCTCCATTGACGGCTCTGGGGCGGATTCTACGGTTGCTACTAGACTACAAACAACGTGACATACTTAACGTAACAGATGTCTGTAAACGAGGCAGTCCGCTGTTGAAGAGAGCGAAATACATCTTTTTTTTTTTCTAAATCAAGGATTTAAATACATCTATCTGCTCCTGATTCTAATAAAGCCCAAGTCCTAATAGTCCAAATTTGATGTAAAAATGTTTAAACGAGCTGTCACCATCTTGTTCCGCTCTGTCGCATCACCCTGCCCACCAGACCAATAGAGCAGTATGATTGGCCCACAAAGCCGATAGAGCGCTGTGATGTAATTACAAAAACAAAACAAAACAACAACAAAAAATTGAAGCAATAATTAGATGATTCACTTCCATGATCGTCTGCGCTTAATCCAGTCAACAGTTGGTGCTCCACAGCAAAGAACAATTTTCAAAACGGCAAAAAGAAGGCTGGAGCACTCAAAGTGACAAAAGATTTAATAGGTGCAAGCACAAAAAAAGACACCCGCAGGAGTCTCTGTCAGAGTAACACGTCGAAACGTTAGTCTCTTTTTGTGCTTGCACCTAACAAATCTTTTGTCACTTTGAGTGCTCCAGCCTTCTTTTTTCTTTTTTTTTTTGCAATAATTAGATTAATTTCAAAAAAGTTGTAAAAATTAAAATGTCATGATCTACATTGTTTTTGTCCAATAGCAGCAGTCCACTTTGATCCTGGACCCACTCAGGTTAGCCGTTAGCTTATTAGTGCTGTCAGAACTATTCTCGGTTTCTCCAACCCAATGTTGATCTTTTGATGAAACTTTTACATCAAAAGTGCTAAAATGCTAATTTAATTGAAGCAATAATGTTCATTAACATTTTATTTACCAAAATGAATTACTCAGAATGAATTTAAAAGCTGTAATTATTTCTGTTACTAAAATAAAAAGACACAAAACAAATGTTTGGTTTCCCATCCATGGTTGGGGTCGTCTTTATCTGAAGTACTTACAAATCTTGATTCAGCCCACATTGTTTTCATAAATAAGTCAATGATCCAGTGCTACAGTGCCTTAAGTCTGTAGAACCGTAGCTTTTATATTGGCTGAACTGTGTGTCTCTGGTAGAGATCCAAAGGAACCAGCGTGGATAGTCACACCAGTGTTACACATAAAATGTTACTTTAATCCACTGATTGTTCCTTTCTGTCCCTCATGTTCCACTCAGACATTGTTCTCGTTCATGTGCCTTTTGTTGTTCATCACAAAACCTGCTATTCATGGTCTTTTCTTCCCTGCTCATCATTCCTTAACCCTTCTCCCTGTTAAGCCCATTTTCTACACCTTTCTTAACGTTCTCCTGTTTCTTTGTTTGGTTCCGACCTCATGCAGCGCCAGCCATGACTTCAGCCACTCCCGCTTCTCCTGAAGGCTCCTCCCCTCAGAAGGTTTGCCATTCCCAGACACAGACAGACATCGCCAAGCCCCTGCTGGGCTCTGTAGGTGGTACTGGAGGATCAGGTGTTGGTGAAGGAGGACCAGGGGCTGGAGGAACTAATGCTTTGCGTAAAAGACGAAGAGTCCTCTCTAAAGATGGACGGAGCAATGTCAGAATCCAGCACGTCAGCGGCAGAGGAGCATTGTACCTACGTGATCTTTGGACAACCTTCCTGGACATGCAGTGGCGCTACAAGTTCTTCCTCTTCTCTGCAACCTTTGCTGGGACCTGGTTCCTGTTTGGAGTACTTTGGTACCTTGTGGCCCTGGTGCACGGGGACCTGATTGGTAAGAAAGGAGGGTGGTGAAAATCAGTGTTCCTAATGTTTTGCTCATTGGTCCATTCTAGACAGTGAAAAACAGACTAATAATTTAGAACCACATGACATGTGTCAGCAGTAAAGTACTTCTAGTGTAATAGCACTATGGAACACAGTACCAAACCATGACACTCACCCCACCATGCTCTAGAGGTGAGTAAGGTTTGATTTACTTAAAGATGCTTTTTTCCTCTACAGACACATTCTTTGGTTATACTTTGTGATTGTTCTTGCACTTCACTTTTGATTAAAACCATTTTTTGGTTATCCAAAATCCATTTTGTAAAAACAATCTGGAGATTAGTTTAAGGATTTCAGTGTTTGCACTCACTTGATCATTACATGATTAAATAATTTTGAGAAGAACCACCATGGACATAATTGGGGGGGGGGGGGGGGGGGGGGGGGGGGGTGTCAGGGAGGGCATGTCCCCCCCCCTTTTTTTCCAAAGTCAAGTTTTGACCCCTGCTCTTTTTACCATCCAAAAACAATATTACGCTATATTAAATTGACACTGGTTGAGCTCTAGGACCAAGCGGAAAACAACCGTTTGTGTTGAAGCCTGTTTCCCATTAGAGCATACTGTAAAGATACCCCCCTCCCCCTCCCAGTGCCCCCCCCCCCCACTTCTAAAGTGAACATTACGTCCATGAGAACCACAGCTTTAAATGTCCTATTTGTATACAACATGTCTTTCTTCATTTAGAAGGCTTTCCTACAAACACGTCCTACATAATAAATCATAGATCTTGTGAAACTTGTAATGAATGATATCCATTTCACACCATTCAGTCGTCATAAAATGGTATTTATAATGTTTCGATCTATAAAGTAGAAAAAAGCCCAGCTATGATGTGATTTGACTGAATGAGTAAACCCCACAGAAGATTTTCTTAAGAGTTCCTTAAAAGATTTCCTGAATTTCTGATCCATTGTCCAGAGTTTGACCCTCCCTCTAATCACACACCTTGTGTGATGGAGGTGAAGACCCTCACAGGAGCCTTCCTCTACTCGTTGGAGTCCCAAACCACAATTGGTTATGGTTTCCGGTGCATCACGGAGGAGTGTCCTGTAGCTATAGTCCTCCTTATCGTCCAACTGGTCCTCACCATGGTGATGGAGATCTTCATCACTGGCACTTTTCTTGCAAAGGTAACTTTTCTAAACAATTTTGTGTGGTTGTAGCAACTTTTGAAAATTCTACTGGGACTGGGAGATCGGAGTTCAAACTGGTTGGGTCATACCAAAGACTTAAAAAATGGGACCCAGTACCTCCCTGCTTGACACTCAGCTGTGAGAAGTTGGACTGGGTGGTTAAACCATCAAATAGTTCTCGAGCACAGCCACGGCTGCAGCTCACAGCTCCCCACGGGGATGGGTCAAATGCAGAGATTGTCATGTTGGATAGAGATTAGTACCCAAATGCAGTTTACCCAGATCCTTTTATTTAGGAGCGATGAGGGAAGTCCAAAAGGCTCAGGGAAAACATAGGAGCCAAATCAGGTTTGAGATCTCACGAGAGGCAATAATAAAAACTAAAAACAGGAGGCAACAAATAATGCTGAGAAGAACAATGAACCAACAGACAGACAAGACCAGGGGTGTTTCTCAAAGCCAAGGAACCTCGCCTTGATGTCTTGGCCCTGCCTCGGTTGCCTTGGAGAGAAGAACCGCCAAGGCGTGTTCCAATGTTCACGTTCTGCCAAGGAGTGTGTTCTCCGTTTGTTAGCCGTTTAGCTAGCTGAGCAAGGATACACAGGAGGTGTTTTGTAGCCTAGCCTTGGTCAAAAATGTCCCAGAACACACCACAGCATTTTCAAAAGGATGGTGATCAGAAGCCTGCAGCTCCTTTGGGGAAAAATTTCAAGTTTAAAAGTAACTCAACTAATTTAAAAGGTTGTTTAAGATCCAGAGAAGTTATCTATGGTTGGTTAGTTGCTTAGTAGTTGCAGCTTCGGTGGCTAGCAGGTAATAACTCGCCTACATATTTAATTTACCAAACATATAAACATTTTAAAAAGTAAAAGGCTCGTTTTATATTTATATTGAAACTTATATGTATAAAATTTAATGTTATCTCCCGTGTCACATGATGTTACGTGACCGCCGTGGAAGCCGCAGTCACGTGATGCAAGTCTGTTCCATTTAACCACTTTCTTTGACCAAGGAAAGACAGTGTTTTCGTAAGCAGGGCGCCTGGCCTCGCAAGACATCGCCTTGCGATGACAGGTGCTTTGACATTGAGAAACACCCCAGGGATGTTCTACGCATACATAGAGGAGTGATAGGGAAACAGGGAGCAGGTGTGTAGGGAGTCATTGCTAGTGAGCAGCAGGTGAGACTAATAAGCTAAATGGGCAAAATAGAAAACAAGAGACCACTAACTAAACTGAATCTAAATGAAAAACCTAACAGATTAAACTAGAAGGCTTAATGACAATAAACAATTCAAAGCATAACTGGAAGATAGCTAAACTAAATAAAACTGAACAAAAACCACAGAGTGACAAACTGGAGAGCTCGGGGGGATTGGTCTAAGAGAACTGAAATGAGTGAACTAAATAACCTGAAAACAGCTGAACTGAAGACACTGGAGGGCTGGGGAGCAAAGAAATGCCTAATCTAAATAAATGACAACTGGGGAAACTGCAGAGACAGGAACCAAACGACCAGGGGAATCTAAATAACACAGCCAGGGGAGGGGACCTTAAACCTGGAAGGGGACAACAGGACACAGAACATGGCAGAGATGTAATGTCACCAGTGTGTGATGATGACTAACGGGACTTCATATAAAGGTTTTTGGAGTGTTTTTATACTCCTAAAATAATTCCAATCTCAGGTTTTATTGCCTAGCTTCATACATTCACGACTCTTACACTCAGTTGGTTGTGGCACTGGGAACAGTCTTTTACTCACATTTTTGCTATGCTTTAACAGGTTGCTCGTCCCAAGAAGAGAGGTGAGACAGTCAAGTTCAGTCAACATGCTGTCGTTTCAAACCATGAGGGCAAGCCCTGCCTCATGATCCGAGTTGCCAACATGCGCAAAAGTTTGCTATTAGGATGCCAGGTAAAGCTCTTTGTCAACATGAGTAGTTTCTGTAGTAGTTATATTAGTTTAAGTAGCAACACCTACTATCAGAAAGTATTCTGGTGCTCCTCTGGTGCTTTGTGAAAGACCATCAAACAGAATATCAGCGCCTTGTTCAAGGGCACACCAGCTTTCATGAAGATGTTGGCCTTTGCAGGTATTAAACCTGGGGCCCTCTGGTTACAGGGTGCCTTCTCCAACCTCTTGGCTTCATTTACTGACTACATCTTGGCTCCCAGGTGACGGGGAAGTTGCTTCAGACGTCCCTGACAAAGGAGGGAGAAACGGTGCGATTGGACCAGCGAAACGTACCTTTCCAGGTGGACACATCCAGCGACAGCCCCTTCCTCATCATCCCTCTGACCTACTACCACATCATAGATGAGAACAGCCCCCTCAGTGCCTGGACAGCAAAAGGTAGGTCACAGCTTGGAAAAACCAAGTGGCTAAATTCAACCGTTGAAGTTTTCTTTAAAATTGAGATTTACAGCGTACTTTTATTGAAGTAACTGTTTTAGTGTTTGTACTAAAGTGTGTAGGTACACCATGCATGTGCGTGTAGGTGTGTTGGTATTTACAGTCATGTGCTTTGTTCTTGGCTGTGTCTAGTTGTCAACAGTCGGTCTTGTTTGTCACTGGCACTAGTCTATCTGGAATGTGTGTGAGAGACACCCCTCATTAGAGCACAATACTGTACAGTCTGAGGTGCTGACACCAAGCCTGCTTAGGTCCCCTTGCACCAACTCAGACCTCCATGGTCAAAAATAACCAAATTTACTCATATTCACAGCAAGATGAGTTTTATTTGAAATTGAACAAGAAGCGATTAACATCTCACGACCACCTCCAGATAGGCGATTATGCTTTAATACAAAAATGTTTGAAATTCTGCTCGTCCCTTTTGAGGGTATCGCACTGTTGAAGCATTGCCATGACCACCACAACTGCTAACCCGGCAAATGCACAAACATGTCCACCCAGCTATTTTCCCCTAGTATTTCCATCGGGGGAAACTATTTTAGGAAAAGATAGAATTTTGGTATTTCTGGCAGAAACTGCAATTCCAATTTGATTGATAAATGATAAAACAGTTTTTTTTTTGGTTTAACGTTTCCTGATCATATTTGAGATTGGCCCTGAGTTGTGTTGCCTTTTCTGTTTTTATTCTTGTTTTAATTCTGTGGTTTATCATGTTTTTGCTGGGCTGGGCCAGTCATCATTCCTAATCCATGTTTTAATTATTTCATCATGTTTCTGGATTATTTCTATTCATTGTGCTGCGTTCTAGTTTTTCATGCGCCTTGGGCTCCCGTAGAGGGTTGTGGGAGGCACTTTATAAATAAAGCCTTGATTGATTGATTCACAATTCTCTTCAAGTCAAGCTTCAGAACAGCATTCACTATGTACAGTTACATTTGCAAACATGACAGCAAATTACATCATACCATCAAAACTTCAAAGTTACTAACTACTACTAATAATGCAATGATGAAAACTAAAGGTATTAATTGTTTTGAATGTATTTGTTAGTTTTCCCTGCAACACTTTACTAAGGCAGGCTGCCTGGATGCTGTCTTGTCACTAAAACACTGCTCTAACACTGATTGCTGACAAATTTTAAGCATTTACTTGGAATCACCGTAACTCAGCAAGGGTTTGTGCTGTCAGAAAAAAATCAGACGGATTCAAAAAAACAAGAAGTAGCGCTTTCAAGTCCACATATTTTAAATAATTTTGGCCGTAGCAGCACCCTGAAAAGAAAAACAACCATATTCACAGGTTTATGAGCTCAGTTTGGCTTCATCAACCATCCCAGTGCCTTCACCCGCTGCAGCCAGCGCTCGCTGCTACCATCGTAACATTTTTAACAGCAGGGGAAACTCGCCAAACACTTTTCAGATTGTCAGATTGAAAGATTTTCTTCTATTAGATATTGTTTAACTTTTGCTTTACCAGCTGCTTGTTCAAACCACAGCTAGCTCCAAACTCTGATTTCTTTTCTCATCTAGCCCCACCTGTTCCATTTGCTGATTGGTTCTTTTGTCTGTTTGTATGCAAGGTCACAGCTGTTCATATGTTTAGGAACATTTCTACGCACAAGTACAAACTGGTACAAAAATTATACATATACATATACATATATATATATATATATATATATATATATATATATATATATATATATATATATATATATATATATATATATATATATATGTCTGTGGTGGATGCCAAGGAGCAACAAATGCATTTACACACTGAGCCTAGGTGGACGATGGGTTGAAGGAGTTAAATAAAAGCAAGCAACATTTAAGCTGCACTGATGTGGTGTTGCAGGAATGCAAAGTGAAGCAGAAAGTCTGCAGCCTTAACGCACAACCCAGATTAGCGGAGTATAAAGCCACTGTGTGATATATATATATATATATATATATATATATATATATATATATATGTATATATATATTTTTTTTTCAACTGAGAGATGGGCTCAGCAGTAGTGAAACTTATAGTCATAGCTGTAAACCTGCACCTGTTAGTTCAAAGTGACAGGTTAGTGTGGTTAGCAAAAGGAAAAACAAAAAAAGAGTTGGTGTTGGGGTTGTGTGAGGTGAGTCAGTGGGAGGGAGGCACTTCCAGACTCACAAGCAGATTTTATCTCCATAATACAAGATGGCAGAGGAGGCTTGCTTTTAAACTGCTGAACTAGATGGAAACATGTCGGCCATCTTAATATAGTCTGAGGCGAACTTGTCCCCAGGGTTGTGGTCATTGCTAATAGGCAGGGGAGACAGTTGCTTAGGGCCACCAGGGGCCCCCGTGGAGCTGATAAAATTTGAATAAAGTCAAAAACAGTAAACAGTAGTGAGACAGTGAAAGACTGTCATTCGACGGCACGGTTGGCCATCTCTGATGAGTCCTCTCCTGCATGACTGCTCAGCTAGAGATCACGCATTAACTCATTTGCTGAACCCCCTCGCAGTCTGACAGGAAAATGGCTGCACGCTTCTTTGTTAGCACCAGACAGCAGTTTTTTTTTGCTTCTGTGCCAGAGTAACCTTGCTCTCCAGTAGGTATTTAATTTAGATGAAAAACTATTTTATGCTCAGAGTTTGATAAATGATTAATGACCCGCACTTGTGTAGCACCTTTCAGAGTCAGGACTCCTAAGCTCTTTACACTACAGTGTATCATTAATCCATTCACACACTGATGGTGATGAGCTACTCTGTAGCCACAGCTGCCCTGGGGTGCCACCGGTCCCTCTGACCACCACCAGCAGGCAAGGTGGGTTAAGTGTCTTGCCCAAAGACACAACAGCAGCATTCTCTTATCAGCCGTGATCAAACCTACAACCCTCTGATTGCTGGACAACCCGCTGTACCTCCTGAGCTACTGCTGCCAAAAGTATGTGCATGTTTTGGACCTAGTTTAATAAGCACAAAAAAAAATCATAACGTTTTGGGGCATTCTTTAAATGAAATAAATTCCAATATTGTGTCCTGTGAGGACTGGTAACTTGACGATTTATACACTTGTCCTGAAAAATGTGCCCCCCCCTATAATCAGTGGCTTCAATTTTGACATGTAGAGCTGCAGTTGAAGACTTTGAAAAGCTGGAAAAACCTTTATGACAGATTGTTTATCACATTCCATCTTTTAGTTCTTTTTAAAACGCAGAAAGGTTTTATTTACCTGCAATGTTTCGTTTGTGGCTGCAAATTTCGTCAGGCTGAAGAGATTCTTTCTTGTCGTCGTCGTCTTCCTCTGCTTATCCGGGTCCGGGTCGCGGGGGCAGCATCCCAACTAGGGAGCTCCAGACCTTCCTCTCCCCGGCCACCTCCACCAGCTCCTCCGGCAGGACCCCAAGGACCAGATTGGAGATGTAACCTCTCCAACGTGTCCTGGGTCGACCCGGGGGTCTCCTGCTGGCAGGATATGCCCAAAACACCTCCCCAGGGAGGCGTCCAGGAGGCATCCTGACCAGATGCCCAAACCACCTCAACTGACTCCTTTCGATCCGGAGGAGCAGCGGTTCTACTCCGAGTCCCTCCCGAATGTCCGAGCTCCTCACCCTATCTCTAAGGCTGAGCCTGGCCACCCTACGGAAGAAACTCATTTCGGCCGCTTGTATCTGCGATTTCGTTCTTTTGGTCATTACCCAAAGCTCATGACCATAGATGAGGATTGGGACGTAGATCGACCGGTAAATCGAGAGCCTGGCTTTCTGGCTCAGCTCCCTCTTCTCCACGACAGATCGGCTCAGCGTCCGCATCACTGCAGACGCCAAACCAATCCGCCTGTCGATCTCCCGATCCCTCCTACCCTCACTCGTGAACAAGACCCCGAGATACTTAAACTCCTCCACTTGAGGTAGGACTTCTCCCCCGACATGGAGTTGGCAAGCCACCCTTTTCCGGTCGAGAACCATGGTCTCAGATTTGGAGGTGCTGATCCTCATCCCAGCCGCTTCACACTCGGCTGCGAACCTACCCAGCAAGAGCTGAAGGTCAGACCTGGATGAAGCTAGAAGGACCACATCATCCACAAAAAGCAGAGACGAGATTTTCCTGCCACCAAACTCGACACACTCCACACCACGGCTGCGCCTAGAAATTCTGTCCATAAAGGTAATGAACAGAACCGGTGACAAAGGGCAGCCCTGGCGGAGTTCAACCCTCACCGGGAACAGGTCCGACTTACTACCGGCTATGCGGACCAAACTCACGCTCCTCTGGTAAAGGGACTGAATGGCCCTTAATAGAAATCCACCCACCCCATACTCCTGGAGCGTCCCCCACAGGGTGCCCCTGGGGACACGGTCATAAGCCTTCTCCAAATCCACAAAACACGTGTGGATTTGTTGGGCAAACTCCCATGCCCCCTCCATCACCCTTGCAAGGGTATAGAGCTGGTCCACAGTTCCACGACAAGGACAAAAACCACATTGCTCCTCCTCAATCTGAGATTCAACTATCGATCGGACCCTCCTCTCCAGTACTTTGGAGTAGACCTTTCCAGGGAGGCTGAGGAGTGTGATCCCCCTATAGTTGGAACACACCCTCAGGTCACCCTTCTTAAAGATGGGGACCACCACCCCGGTCTGCCACTCCACAGGAACTGCCCCCGATGACTACTCAATGTTGCAGAGACGTGTCAACCACGACAGCCCTACAACATCCATAGCCTTGAGATACCCAGGACGAACCTCATCCGCCCCCGGGGCTCCGCCGCTGTGTAGTTGTTTGACTACCTCAGCAACTTCTGCCCCCGAGATTGGACAGTCCATCCCCAGGTCTCCCGGCTCTGGTTCCTCCTCGGAATGCGCAGGGGTGGGATTGAGGAGCTCCTCAAAGTATTCCTTCCACCGTCCGACTATGGCCCCAGTTGACGTCAGTAGCTCCCCATCCCCACTGTAAACAGTGTGAGCGAGTTGCTGCCTCCCTCTCCTGAGGCGCCGGACAGTTTGCCAGAACCTCTTTGGAGCCGATCGATAGTCTTTCTCTATGGCCCCACCAAACTCCTCCCACGCCCGAGATTTTGCCTCGGCAACTGCCACTGCTGCACCCCGCTCGGCTATCCGGTACCTGTCTGATGCCTCCAGAGACCCACAGACCAGCCACGCCTTGTAGGCCTCCTTCTTCAGCCTGACAGCTCCCTGAACCTCTGGTGTCCACCAGCGGGTACGGGGGTTGCCAACACGACTGGCACCGGCCACCTTACGACCACAGCTAGCAACAGCTGCCTCAACAATCGCAGAGTAGAACAAGGCCCACTCGGAGTCAATGTCCCCCACTGCTCTCAGGACGCGGTCAAAGCTCTGCCGGAGGTGGGAGTTGAAGACTGTCTTGACAGGTTCTTCTGCCAGGCATTCCCAGCAGACCCTCACTAAGCGTTTGGGTCAGCCAGGTCTAGGCGTCATCTTCCCCTGACATCTGATCCAACTCACCACCAGGTGGTGATCAGTTCACAGCTCCGCTCCTCTCTTCACTCGGGTGTCCAAAACATACGGCCGTAGGTCAGATGATACAACTACAAAGTCTATCATCGACCTGCGACCTAGGCTGCCCTGGTACCAAGTGTACCGATGGGCATCCTTATGTTCGAACATGGTGTTCGTTATGGCCAAACTGCAGCTTGCACAGAAGTCCAATAACAAAATACCACTCGAGTTCAGATCAGGCGGGCCGTTTCTCCCAATCCCACCCCTCCAGGTCATGCTGTCATTGCCCACGTGAGCATTGAAGTCCCCCAGCAGGACAATGGAGTCCCATGATGGAGCACTATCTAGCACTCGTCCCAGGGACTCCAAAAAGGGTGGGTACTCTGCACTGATATTTGGCCCATAAGCACAAACAACAGTCAGGACCCGTTCCCCGACCCGAAGGCGCAGGGAAGCTACCCTCTCATTCCCCGGGGTAAACCCCAACACACAGGCAGAGAGTCTTGGGGCTAACAAAAAGCCAACCCCAGCCCTCCGCCTCTCACCCGGATCAACTCCAGCAAAGGAGAGTGTCCAACCCCTCTCAAGGACTTGGGTTCCAGAGCCAATGCTATGTGTTGAGGTGAGTCCGACTATATCTAGCCGGTACGGCTCAACCTCTGCCACAAGCTCCTGCTCCTTCCCCGCCAGTGAGGTGACATTCAATGTCCCAAAAACCAGTTTCCTTGTCCGGGGATCGGACCGCCAAGGCTCCCGCTTCGGTCTGCCACCTGATCCACACTGCACCGGACCCTTCATGTTCCTCCTGCGGGTGGTGGGTCCACAGTTGGATGAGCCCATGTATCCGGTTTGGGCTGGGCGTGGCCGAGCCCCATGGACGAAAGCCCGGCCACCAGGCGCTCGCTCACGGGCCCCAACCCCAGGCCTGGCTCCAGGGTGGGACCCCGGTAACCCTCCGGGCCGGGTACTCCGGGTACACCGACTCCTTGATAGTTCATCCATGAAAGATCCTCTGATTCTTTCTGTGTTTTAAAAAGAACTAAAAAATGAAATTAGAATTTCAACACAGCAAGAAGACATCAAAGTTGTTTATCACATGCCAGAAGTTCACTCAGCCCATGAACTATTCACCCTCAGAGCTGATTTGGTTATTTGTATCGGCTTGTCTGCCTAACGCCATTCATTCTCCAATTGCTGCTGTCGAAAGACAATCATAAACTGACCTGAATCATAATCTAGTCATTGGACTAACACGGAGGTCACACTCTAGTAATGACATGCTTTTGAGACACACCACCCACAACAAACCCAGGTACAAGAATCCCTTAAACATGCTGGTGCCACCGTGTCTACAATAGGGTTGTGAAAGCTGATGTTTTTCCTTTGGTAGGAGTGATATTTGGTCTGAGTGAGGATAAGTGTTGTTTGGACAGATGACAGAGTCGGAGCATTCTGAGTGAGCTCTGTTGATGCAGGTGTGGGCTTGCTTCAGTGCACATGTCTGCTGCATGATGTTCCCTTTGGGGACTGACTGTGTGGGTAACGACAGAAAAATACAGTTCCCATTTTCAATGAAAATAAAGTTTTTAATTGTTTGAATAAAGTGGTTCTGGTGAGTAATGATGTGTTACTGGTTCGTGCCGTGTTGTGTGAGTTGGTCAGTTAATGGGGTGCTCTGTGTGCAAACATGAGGCGTTTCAAAAAGCTATTTAGACCTGATTTTGTCATAAAAAGTTAACTACATTGCTTGTCCTCCAGGTGGCGGCTGGACAGACCCTGAACTGGCAGATTTTGAGCTGTTGGTGATCATGAGCGCCACGGTTGAACCAACTTCTGCAACATGCCAGGTTCGAACATCCTACCTTCCCGATGAGATCCTCTGGGGATACGAGTTCCCCCCTGTCGTCTCCCTGTCCCCCTCAGGAAAATATGTGGCTGATTTTGCCTTTTTTGACAAAGTGGCAAAAACCAAGTCTCCCCCCCTCATGATGCAGGACCTCTCCCCAAACGACAAATCACAGGTTCAATACCGCAGCGGCAAAGAGAATGAGAAGAACCAGGAGAAGCTGCGACTGGAAGAGATCTACAGGGGGGACAAGAGGGGGAGAGAAAGGGGACGCATAAGAGATAACAGCCCACTGAGTGTACGAATTAGTAATGTGTGATGGCCCTGACACCAAAAGGTTTTAGGTGATGATGTGAAACTGGATCACAGCAGAGAAACAGGAAGAGGAAAACAAAAACTGCTAAAAACGGATGAAACGTTTCTCCTACTCACAAAGATTCAATGTGGAGCAAAACCGATGACCTTTAACATCCGGCTACACTAGCGGCACACCATGAAAGAGAACTACAAATGTATCAAAATGTACTACATATGCCTGCCGCCAGCTTCAAACAGAGCAGGATGTAAACTCATCTACAGCAAGACTTCAAGGCTCTGAAACAGGTGGTTGAATATTTCTGTGATGCAACATTTCCTCATAGCATATATCTTTGCAGCTGGAAATCCTGATAGGTTCACCTTTACATCGATGTTCAACATAGAAAGATTCTTCATCCACGGCAGGTGTGTGGGTAGCACCCCTGAAAAACAGCAAACAAACAAACCAACAGGCATATTTTAAGCCATTCATTTAAAATGTTTGGGGCCTCAGTAACCTCAGTGGTTGATGCATAAGCAGCCACAACAGCTAGGCTCCTCCTCATGTTATTCACCAATATGGCGACATTTTACTGTAGGATGGTTAGGGTTAGGGTCCTTTTCCTTAAAGGGGAGATGCTGAAGGTGAAGCAGTTTGGTGTTGTTGGTTAGTATTTCACAACAATGGCACTGAAAGGGTCTCTTGGGGCCACAAGCAAAAGCACAAACAAGGAACTTAAGGTTCATAGCCAAGAAGCATTGTGACAACAGAGGAATAATACAACCAAAATTCCCTAACATCTTATACCAAGTGTATCGTTTTTATGGGGATGCCGTTACTTACTAAAATACACTGTAAAACTAACAACAACAACAACAACAACAACATGTCTTATCAGTTAATTTCTGTCTGCAATCTTGTCTTTGATGACATTTCCCTAGAAGATAAGCCTGGTGGCTTATGGGTCATGGATGTAGTTTTGACTAGAAAAGGGGGAAACACAACCGTAAAGGGGGTGGTGGGGTAGATTTGAACCCAGGACTTTACTGCTCTAAGTCTTTTTTATGTAATGTCAGGAATACAGAACTGTCAAGTACACGGATCGCAGGAACGGCCAATCACACGTTAGCAAGCGTCAGCAGAGCCAATAGATGAGCTGATGGACGGCTCTAATGGGAAACAGGCTTCAACACAAGCAGTTCTTTTCTGAATGGTCCTAGTGCTAGTGTTTCTTTAATATAGCGTAATATTGTTTTCGGATGGGAAAAAATGCAGGGGTTCAAAAATTAACTTTGCAAAAAGTGTGTGTGTGTGTGTGTGTGTGTGTGTGGGGGGGGGGGGGGGGTCCCCTGTCCCCTCCCAAAACTACGCCCATGATTGTGGTGGACAAAGCAGTCTGCCACCCTCTCTGATCCCTGTGTAATGAGAATTTGCACAAAACTTTTTCCTTGCCTTTTCTGTGCTCCCGCAGAAGCATACAGGACCAGGAGGGAACCACTAGCCTGGCCTCCCAGACTCGTCCTCTGTTTAATTCTGCGCAGAGAAAGAGTCTGGTTACTCACAGACAGAGAGGCACTTGAGGGGCGGGACTAGGCAGCTCAAAAATAATTAATCAGAAAAAAGAGGGAAATGCCGACTGTACAGCGCGACGCTGTAGTTTTTTTTAGCTGTAGTCAAAAATGGCGTCTGGCAACGGCACAAACATCTTTTATTTTAGAAGAAAGGCTTTTAGCGCTTCGACTTGTTGTGGGTTTAAAGACATTCAATTCATTTAGACCAGAGGAAAGAGCCGCAGCGAACTCCGCTTCAGTCGCCATGTTTATGACAAACTCGGTGTTGTGGTGTGTGACGTACGCTACTCAGTGCTGATTGGCTCGGTAAGAATTCTCAGGGGGTGGGTTAATTTGAATAGGAGAGTTCCCAGACTCTTTCTCTGTGCAGAATTAAACAGATGAGGAGTCTGGCAGGCCAGGCTAGTGAACCACATGAAATCTTTTGTAACAAGGTATTTTTTACTAATGTAGAAAATGCACATGTGACCCACTCTTGCTCATGGACAATATACAAAGTCTTCATAAAGGCTCCAGTTAGATTTGAATCCAGGGCTTTCCTGCTCTGACGCAACAGCACTAACCACTTCTCCATAAAGTGTTTTCATAGAGCCTCTGAGTGCTACACACTGGACATTTAATAAGATACCTGGAACAGGTGGTGGAAACACTGGAACGTGTTATATTTTTGTTGTACAGTTTCAAAGGAATGTATTAAATTTTAGTCATTTTTAACAAGGGTGACCTGAACATATTACATCAGATGTAAATATCTGTGGGACTAGATGTGGTCAGTAATGTTACTAAAAGCACTTTAACTTGAAGGAACAGTGACATTTACTGTAAAAGAAAAACAGAACTAACCTCCAAGTTCAGTACGCTGTATTAGCTGACTCAGTTGTGTGATGATGGGACAGATTTGTTGATTGTGTTTACACCAGCCGATGTTTGGAGGTCTGCTCCCAGTTTCATGTACAGTTTAACATGTACAGTGTCTATAAATATCTTTAGTTTATTTTTTAATTTGAGGTGTACTGCTGTCGGTGCACAATGTCATTTCTGTAAAGCTCTTCTGCCTTTTAACTGCTGTTATGTTGAGCAGAATGTATCATTTAACAGCGTGTAACAGTCGCATAAAACAGTACAAATACTCATCATGCATCCAACGGATGTGTGAGGCGGGACTAACTATTGATTTAACTCAAAAACACACAGATGTGATTAAACAGTTTTTAAACAAAATGAATTGAAAAAGAGTTTCAAGAACAGATCCAAAGGGGGGTGGGTGCACGTAAGCCCTTTCAGGACTTTGCTAAGTCATGAGCACAAGTTAATCTATTCCAAGGATGAGGAAAGTGGCTGTGAGATGTAAAAAGCAACATTCAATGACCAGATGTTTTCCCGATGCTCTGGTGGAGACAACAAAACAGGGTACAGTGCAGCGTTGTGGAGGAATTTCTGCTAGATATTTTGGACTGGGGAGGCTGATCTAAAATAGAGTCGAAGCTGCTTATTTCATTTTCCTTCTTTTACCAATGCTGGTTGTTTGGCCATGTCTAATTTCCTACTGAGTTACAACAAATCAGCATGCGTCACCATAAGTCCTGCCTAGCGACTACCGGACTGTAAACACCATGAGGCAAATACTTGGTTGGTCACTGAAATGTCCCGGGAAGTGGTCCTCTTGAGACAGAACAGATACTGTCTTCTTCTTCTAGACATATTGACTTTATCCATTTTTATTTCAAGGTCTTATTGACTTTTTTTTAATAACACAGCTGTGGTCTCCAGTATTAATAAACCTTGTTGGTCTTTTTTTGTAGACAAAAGCTTGTGTGCTCTTGTTTCAGGATGTAGAAGTCTGTTGAGGGAATAACAGGAGAATACTGATTATTATTCATGTTAAGCAAACATCTTGCCTCTGATTGGCTAACGGCAACACGACTCTTCCACTTCCACAGACAAATTCCGACCACTTCTTATTCAGGTGTTCTTTGTTCACCGTTGTAAGAAAAGCAGCGTTGATGTGTTATCTCCACAAATAACACATGCCTGAAACTGCTCCGCCATGTTGTGGCGTTGCTAACGGTCAACTTCAACTAGCTGAGACATGTTCTGCTCTCTCCTGGCCATGACAACACTACAGCCTTCTGTGGTTACAGGCCAAGGTGGGCGGGGTCATGAATACTAATTTTTCCTGTCTTTTCTCTTGTTTGCGGCTGATGCAGGCAATAAGGGTTGAAGAAAATGTTCGTGTGCAGCATGCATATTGAATCCAAAGTGACCAATCGTGTTTCAAGAAGATCAAGTATGGTACAGTTTCTCAGTGAAGGTACACTGCAAACTCTTGTATTGTGCGATTTTAGCAGCTCAAAAGTCTCACAACCACCCTCCTAATAAGTTATGTGACTGGTTGTTATCCACTTTCACTGGAAAAGTATAAATGTCTAGAAGCATTTTAGCTCCTGATCAAAAACAGGACCAGTACAGAGAAAACAGATGCAGTAACAGTAAAAACAACTACATAGCTGTTTCGGTTTCTAAGACACAAAAATAAAAACCGTAGTTTGAAGCTCGTACGTTGTTCCTCGACAGCTTTGAGTCCACATGGATGCAACAATTCAAATTTAGGTTATGTTCCCTTGAGAATCATTTGAGGTAAAGCATCTTTACTCTGGTAAACCCTGCAGATGGTTACAAACAAACGGTGAAACATATTTCAGTTGCTACCGTACTATTTCCAGCTCAGTCTCTAAACGCTGAAATCTCACCTCTTAACCAGCAATGTGACTTAAAGTGCCTATTTTAGTAAAAGCTATATTTACAAGTTCATGTCTCTGATTTTTAATCATGTCACCGTGTCTGTTATGTAATCATGATTTTGTTTTCAAATGTAGACTAACTGTCGACCTACAGATTGTTTGACTTAACAAGATGTTCACATTTGATGCTTGATTTAAGACTTGCTAAACTAAGACGTTTAAAATATCTTGGTCTTTTGCTCTTGGCCAAACCTCTAAATAGATTAAATTAGAGTTGTTTTGAGTTAGCAACAGCAAGACAATCAGCCTGCCAGGATGTGATGGTTTCTTCTCGAGTTTGATGTAGAAATACCTCCACTTCCCTTTTTGAGAGCAGATTGTCGTGCATTAGCCTGAGCACTGGAAACACACGTTCACAGGGCAAAAATACTGTTAATGAAACGGTACAGTTGGATGAGCTTGTTATCACAAAAGCAGAACTCAAAAAATATTTAAAAACAAAACCAGATTTTGACATCAGCATGGTTTTACCTAATGACTCTGTTATGATTAAATGCTGCTGTTAAAATGTGTGTTTGTATATGTGTGTGTGTGTGTGTGTGTGTTTGTATATGTGTGTGTGTGTGTGTGTGTGTGTGTGTGTGTGTGTGTTTGTGTGTGTTTGTATATGTGTGTGTGTGTGTGTGTGTGTGTGTGTGTGTGTGTGTGTGTGTGTGTGTGTGTGTGTGTGACTGAAAGGTTTAGAGCAGAGGCCAAACTATAGGCTCTCTGGTAAACTGGAGGTTAACCATGTTCCAGTGGTTTTTGACATTTTCTTTGTTGTTCTCAAATGAAAAAATCTCATTTGATGTTTTTTGGTTTTGAGAATTTAAATTGTTCCAAATCATTTTTAAATGAACCAACCGATTCTCTCAGCCCTGCGTCAACAGGTTCGACAGAAACAGGTTTTAAAGGAATGTTTGGAGGAGAAATCAATTAGAGCCTCTTTTTTTTGTCTTTTTGGGGGTGTCGTGTGACTTCCTGGCTTCTTAAAAGATCTATCTTTGGTTTGCTGCGTTAACGGATGAGTGCACGTTCTCACATGCAGTGTGTTTCCTGCTCTACATTCACTCAGATAATAACCGCTGGAGCCCTAAAAATGCTTTTTGTCCTGAGTATCTGGATATTTACAGGTAAGAGCAAAACTCTCTTGCATGAGAATGACTATGAGGTCTGCTTGGATTTCGGACAAATACTGTTTCTCAATCCAAGACCGGAGACTTAGACCACACAAAACAGGAAGTAGATTGATTTAGAAGCTTTTCTTAAGTAAGTAAAACTGTGCATTTACCCTTTTGTAGGATAAAAAAAAAATTTCCTCTGGAATTTTGTTCCTGTTTCAAAGATGAAAGAAACAGATCCATTTTTATATCTTCAAAAATGCTGTTTTAACTCTTCATTTCGTATGCACACTGACTCCATGTTTATAGGACTGTAGATCAAGTCTTAAAAGTGACTCCTGTCTTTTAGGAGTCCTGGCCGAGGAACCCACAGTGCAATATTATCAACTGAAACACAGTTCAGTGTGCCTACATGTCAACAACACCCCTCCATATCAAAATGCTGAGTGGACATTTGCTGGTAACATTCTAACAGTTGGAAAAGATCTTGATCCCGTTCATGAAAGGAAAATGGATTTTAACCCTGCCAACTTGACCTTGTGTATAAAAAATCTGACTAACGCTGACAGCGGCATTTATAGGAGCTCAATTGTGTCTAATTTCAAAAAAATAGCAGTGGTTCACCAAGTCATTGTTGAAGGTATGTCAGACTTTCGTTTCCATCCTCTTTTTAAGCTTTTGTCTAAACTTCATTCACAAAGTCACACTTGCAGGATTTGGTATTTAACTGGTTTGCCTGTTTGGTGTTGTAGAGATGGTTCCTAAACCAGTGATCACTCTGACACCAGAGCATCGCTCCAACCTGTCTGCAGCTTCCTGCCGAATCAGAGCAAACTGCTCCATCCAGGACCACTGGCTGTGGTCTCTCTGTGATGAAAACGGCTGTGAGACCTCTCAGATGTCCTTCAGCAAGCTCAACATCACCCTCTTTTCTGATAACTCAACTGCTGTCTGCATTGGCAACAACCATGTCAGCACTAAAAGCCACTCAGTGAGCATCGCAACAAAGTGTGAGTATCAGAATGAAGCAGATGACTTCTATATCTATTAAAGAACGAATAAAACTACTTTCTAGTAAAACTGTTTTATGTTTCAGGTTTCAGGATTTCTGACAGTGAAGCTAACGAAGTTTCAACACTCAGTAATACTAATATCATCATCATCATCTTGTGTGTGATATTCTTTGGTTTTTGTATCGCATTTACCTACATCCTCTGCTCAAAATCATGCAACTCCAATCAGGTAATTCAAATAATAATGTTTTCATATCAGGATGAACAATCGTTTCACATTTCCTAATATAACAGTGTAACACCGTTTCTAGGGAACATCATCGGCTTTGTTGATAGAGAATGGACAACTAGAGAGGCAACCACGATCCGGGCCCAGAACCTCTACGTCTTCTTCAGGGAGTGAAGCAGACCCCTCATACGAGAACGTGGATACCCCTGGGCTTGGTGGAAGCATCGTCCCAGGAGAGGGGCAGGACTTCAGAGAGGGTCAGAGGGCTGATACCATCTACAGCATCCCACAAGCGCCCGTCTCTCGTGTTAAATTTGAAAGGAGCAAGGACACATCAGTAAACAAGGATGAACAAACAACTTCTGAGTCTGCCACCCAGAATCAGGACCAGTCTCTAACACAAGCTGACACGGTGTACACCATGTTGCAAATGCCCAAAAATCTGAAGGCACAGCACCACCAAGAGGGAGACTAGGACTGATGGAAGCCAAGATAAAGGCATGAGTCAGAGTGTGTATGTACAGAAATTATAAAGTCAATGACAACTATAGTAAGCATAACATCCATACTAAATTTGAAATATTTTAGTAACCAACGAGGTCCAGTAGTGTAATATTCTCATCTGGTCTTACTGTTTAGCACATAGATAATCTTATGAATGAGGAAGACCAGATGTACGATCAGTGTTTGTCTTGTTTATACCATACATGATAGGGCTCAGTGTGTTACGGATGCCAGCCTGACCAGTGGAGAGAAGCAACCAAATTCACACATCTGTAGTGAATCAGCCTGACACCGCTCCTCCTCCTCCTCTCTCCCAGGCTGCTGAGGAGCACAGCTGAGAGGAATCAACCTAATGAGCAAACACCTGCATAAAAGGGCTGTGCCTTCAGCAGTCTGGGAGGCAGCAGTGCAGGGGTTCTGCTGTCCTCCTGGTTTTGTGTAGTTTTAACCCCTGTTCGTTTGGATTTGTTTGAGTTTTTTGAACTTTGGTTGTTTTTAATTCTTAATGAGAAACTGAGGATGATCCAGTGGGATCTTTTGTATGTTTGGTTTTTAAGGTTAACTTCATTTGTGGCTATTTTCCTGACTTCAGTTTTAACACCTTTCGTGTTGGTAAAACTTTTAAGATAAGTTTTTACCAGGTGTTTTTAGTCAGAATGTTTTTAGACTTTCATCAACTTCAGGATTTTAAAACACCTTCGTTGCGGTAAAACTTTTAACATAAGTTTTTACCAGGTGTTTTATAGTTGATAATTTGCTTTGTACTGTTAACCTTATAGAGAAATCAGTTTTGCTGGTGTTTTAATACCTTTTTTGTACAAATAAACCCATTTTAAACTCCGCCGCCAGTTCTTATGTTCTCCCCATCCTTCACACTTTTAACATCACATGTCGGGGACGTAACACAGTGTAAGTACTGGAAACTCTTCAGTGGCATTGTAACTTTTAACTATCTACTTCAATTAATAAACCATTCACAAGTAATTGTATCTGGTTGTTAATAAAGTTGCCATTGTTTGTTTAGAACCAGACTGTCGTTTGAATAATGGATTATTCTATTTGTTGTTTGTGTGATGATTAAACGCTGGAGTTAAACGGTTTAGAGCTGAAAGCTGAGTGCAGAAGGAGTTGACTGAGTTTGAGAGACAGAGACACACAACACCATCATCCGTCAATACAAGCACTCTGCTGCAGGCCCACAGAGGGTGATACTACTAATAATAATAAGTTTCTTCCCTGCAGCAACAGGGAACAAACTTAAAGAGTAGGATTTAACTTGTGAAGCATTGGGAAAGTCTAACAAGGTTATTTGTCCACAGCAATGTCAGAGGTCAACAGACAGCGCTGCTCACGAACCTCCAAAACAAAAGGAAACGACAGAGTGATCCAGGACTAATTGGAGACACGTTGGAGAAATGCTGTTACAATAAAGACTGAAGGGCTAAAGCTGTTCAGAGTGACTCTGATGGTTCAGCCATTTCTTTTTGTCACAAAGCTTGCAGGTTCCTCAGTAATCAGACAGGTTGGTGCTAAAGGAACCCAAGTAAGATTTGAACACAGACAAGGTGTTTGTCTTGTTTTGTACAAATCAAACCTTTTTGAAGAACAACATTAAAGAACAGCTGAAAGGCTTTAATTAAAGCCTTGATTATTTATTCTGACTTCTGAGAAAAGAAGTCAGAACATTAAGTTTAAATCTAACATTTGACAGAGATTAAAGTCAGTTCTTTTTGTTTTCCTCCCCCCTAAAGATGCACTGTAATTGATTGGTTGTCAATTTTGCAAAACCACCCTTTTGTTTTTGTTAGTTTTTAAAATTAAGAAGAAAAAAAGAGAAATTATCAAAAAATCTGGATTTTCTTTCAATGGGATGTTGATATTAGTGGAAAGTTAGGTGAAAACAAGTATAAATTGATCTAAACATATTACTAGCACTGTTAGTGTGATCCTGTTGTGGAAATTCAGACAAAGCTAAAATAAAAGGCTTTAATTTCAGGTTTTCAAATACTAAAGGGCATTTCCAACCTATTTGTTTTCCCAGTCTTTTCGACTTGCTCCCATCTGGCAGGAGGCTCCGGTCCATTCAGACCACAATCTCTCACCACGAAAAGTTTTTTTCCTTTTGCTGTTGGACTCATGAAGGACAATCCTAGGACTGCCCACTCCAGTCGCTTTGTTTCAGTCACATGACCTTGTGTTGTGTTTGCACCTGAACTTACCTGCTGTGATCAGTTCCTACGCTGACTTGTATATGTTAGCTGATTACTCTAATTATTGCCGCTCTATATTATTAATTTGTTTATATTTTCTGCAACAAGTACCTCTGCAATGTTTTAATGTTATAAACTTCATCAGTCATCACACACACACACACACACACACACACACACACACACACACACACACACACACACACACACACACACACACACACACATTATAAAAATGGTTTTATTGAGTTATTTTTACCTATTTGATCACATCTGAGAGCCACTGGGGCAAATAAAGAAGTGACCGTTGTCTGAGCCGTAAGGATGAGGAAAGAGGAGAGGGGACCTCTGGACTCCATGCAACGCTCCCAGAGGTAAGGTTATGAGGGGCCACCAGAGACAATATTCTAAATTACCTCTCATGTGGAAATAGAGCTGTCTGGTTTGAAAGTAGGATAAACTTATTAGGTGATTGTGATCAAACCTTTATTATTTGGATCATAGAAAACAAACCAGTGCAATCTTTAGAGCACCATGAGGTCTGATCGGGTCTTTTCTCTGTTTTTCAGATGATGATGATCATCCTGGAGGATGAAGGAGTGATGAGGCTGCAAGCTGAGGTCATGAAACCAGAGGCATCTGTTTTCAAGTCTTTCATCATCATCATCATCATCATCATTGTTCTTATTTCTACTTTTAAGGCTTTAGTGATGCAAATAGTTTTTTGCAAAAGTAACTCTTGTCAAGTTCCTAATGTTGCTAGTATGATGGTGTCATGAATAGATGTTTAATCCCACTAGATACAAGAGTTGTAGCAGGGGTTGTTTTCTAAAATGAACTAATAATTGATGCACAGGAAATCATGTCCCAGACGGTGATGGCTACTGGCTGGAAGGATCTCCTGAACCTTTCTGTGCTACAGCAGACCCAAAAAAGACTTTTATTTAACACTCTGCTCTACTGAGAACCCCATTGTGTTCTGTAGAAAACATAACCATCATGTTCTACAACTTTTACATCAGGGGTGGGCAACACTCATCTTCAAGAGCTGCTATCCTGCATGTTTTAGTTGCTTGCCTGTTCCATCTCACCTTATTCAATGGTTGTATAACTTGTTCAGTATGTCATCAAGCTGTGTAAAAGCCTGTCAATAACCTGCTGACCAAAATCAGGTGTGTTAAAGCAGGGAAATAACTAAAACATGCTGGATAGCAATCCTCTAGGACCAGAACTGCCATCCTCTGTTCTCAAGCATCGTTTGGGTCCTCAATTAGTTACATTTTAACTAGGCTACATTATAAAAATACTGAAATACTGTAAAGACTTGAATTTGAACACTACAATAAGATGTTTGTTAAATGTCATTACTTATTGTTCGATTCTCATTGAATAAATCCACTTAAGGTGTGTTATTAATTAGGCTTTAAAGTTTTATATAAGGGACATTTATGAACAGATTATTAATCCCACAGTGGGGTGATCCTCATGTTAAGGCAGCACACACACACACAAAGAATGATTGTAATTCGAGTTTAAGACATAAACAGGTTAAAGTCTGACCTGCAATAAAAATAGAATAAGATGTAGAAAACAAGTTTACACACACACACACACACACACACACACACACACACACACACACACACACACACACACACACACACACACACTCACACACACACACACACACACACACACACACACACCCACGAGATTTTTGTCCATCTTAAAATAGAAAACGATGTGATAGAAATGAACGCTGGTTGTGTTTGTTGCATCACCTTAAAGGCCAGTTTGTTACAACACCCAGGTATTTACCTGAAACATTCATACAGAAGGGTGATGTCTGCATTTTCATTCTAAAATCCAAAGAAAACACAGAGTTTATATCCACTTCAGTGCTTTTGTGTCAACATTTTGGGCGTGTGGTTTGGATGCAGGGACACTGATATAACATTTGGATCAACACACCTGTGGATGCTCTAATGAAGGCCACAGTGGAGCCAAAACCATCAGCAAACAAATCAGTTGATAACAACTTTTACTACACTGTGTAAAAAATAAGAATAGAAGAAATAAATTTGAACTTTCCATGCGTGAAAGTGGGAGGGTGGCTGTTCCTCAGCATGAGATAATGGAGGTGTTGCGTGAAAAGGCTCATATGTGTGTGTCTCACACTCAATTTGTGAGAGCTGGCAGTCCTATAAAGCGCTCCATTCATCCAGTTTCATTTAGTTAAAGTCCCCTGAGGTTGATCCAGTTCATCTTTCTCCAACACTGAGTGGGTCCAAGGTATTCCCAATTCAGAATACCAGTAGATATCTTATTCCTCCAACAAGTTCTGCCTGGAACACCAACTGCACCAGGAGCAGGCGGCTAAGCTGAAGCTAAAGATCTCTTCCTTCAGCTTGATGGTTTGCCCAGCCTTAGTTGTACAAACTGGTCCATCTAGCAAATGCTCTGCCCTGGTTTCCTCAGTCTTAGCACCAATCTTTCTGGTTCTAATTCATATTTTCTGTCACACCCTGCCAGGAGCCCAGCTCTTTGTTTCCTGTTTTACTTTGACATTCTTCTCTCTCCTTTGTGTCACTTCCTGTCCTTCATTAACCAGATTCATCCCAGCTGTGTTCACGTGTATTTAACCTCTCTCTGTTCTCCTTTTCAGTTGCCAGTTCGTTGTTTTCCTCATACCTCTTCGTTCCAGCCGTGATTATTGTTTGCTCTCAGTATTTTTGACTTAGTTTTGGTGCATCCGTTTCTGCTATTTTTGCCAGCTAACTTGGATTTGCTTGTTGGAATATTTACCTGCCTTTTTGACCTCTGCCTTAATAAAGGACATTTGCCTATTACCTCCTCATTCTCCAGCCTTGCTTTTGGGTCCAGTTCCCGATACCTGACAGTACGAACTAGCCAACACGGACCCAGCAGGCTCGGAACCAGTACTTAGCGCTTTGGGTGCTCAAGGCAGGAGGCTGCACCAGCAGGAGGAGCATCTTGCTGACCTCGACCAGCGGATCCAACAGATGTCAGCTGGACAGGAACAGTTGATGACATCCGTAGGTGAACAACTGGGAATTCTCGTCAGCCAGATACAGGATCTGCGGCGCAACTCGGAGCCTCCGCCCAGAGATGACCATCCTGTTAAAGCGGACTCTGCCCCTGCTGCTGACATGTCTGCTGCCCAGCTGAATCTTGGGGGCACGCCTGCTCAGCCACTTCCTTCGTCTTCATTGGCTCCACAGGTGCAGCTCGCTCGACCAGATAACTTCTCTGGAGATTCTGGTGACTGCTTGGCTTTTTTGACTCGGTACTCGATTCACTTTGAACTCTTACCTAATTCCAACCCCACTGACAAAGCGAAGATTACTTTTATCATCTCACACTTGTCGGGGAGAGCGGAGGCTTGGGCAACGGGTGAGTGGGGATGCCAGACCCGTGCATGTGACTCTTTGGTCCTTTTCACACACAGCTTAAAGCAGATATTTCATCATGCTCGACCCGGTCGTGAGACCGCCCGGGCTCTTCACAGATTGCAGCAGGGAAGGAGAAGGGCCACTGATTATGCCTTCGAGATCCAGACTCTTTCGGCGGGTAGTGACTGGAACCAGCCAGCCCTATGTGACGCCTTTTTGGAAGGACTAAATAATGATTTCAAGGACTGTTTGGCTCCACTTGATCTCCCTACAGATCTAGATGACCTCAATGCTCTTGTCATTAAGTTAGGCAAGAGACTCTATGACAGGAGGAGAGAGTGGGGCGGCTCCATCAATCGGCCGGTGGGTTGGAGTACTGAACCTGGGATTGTCGGTTTTGGCCATCAGCTGCCTGTCTCGACCTTCATGCCAACACACTGCCCCACGTCATCCCCCAAGACAGACGAACCCATGGAATTCGGCCGAACCCGTCTCTCGCCAGAGGAACGACAGCGACGGTGGAGGCTGGGCCTGTGCATGTACTGTGGCCAGGCTGGTCACCTTGTGGGGAACTGTCCTGTCAACAGGAGAACACTCCAGACCCAGAAGACCATGGTGAGACGAACCACTTTTTCGTCAGTAAAACGAGTGAATCCTGTGGTTACCATAACCAGTTCAGACAAACAGTTTTAGTCGATTCTGGTGCTGATGCCAACTTGATGGATACATCCCTTGCAGCACGACTGAAACTTCAGTTACAGACTCTTGAAGCCCCTTCAGTCTACTACTGTGGATGGTCGCCTCTTGTGCTTGGTATCGTTACAGACTCCTCTGATGCTGCTTACCTTCCCAGACCAGCACACTGAGACCATCGTTTTCCTGGTCTCCTCCTTCCCTCTACACCCGGTGATATTGGGGTTCCCATGGCTGGAGAAACATGGTCCGGTCATCGACTGGGCTACAGGCTCCATTAGCTCCTGGACTTGTCGCTGTTTGGAGAACACATCAGGTCAGTCAGCCACGGCTGCTATTTTGGACATGGATTATCCTTGCTTGTCTTCTGTCCCAGCCTGTTACCACGACCTCAAGGAAGTTTTTAGCAAGTCCAGGGCCACTTCATTGCTTCCACATCGATCTTATGATTGTTCCATGGGCCTGCTACCAGGGTCGACACCACCCAGGGGTCATCTCTATTCTCTCTCCAGCCCCGAACACCAGGTCATGAAAGACTATGTGGACTCTGCCCTTAAGGCTGGCCTCATCCGTCCATCAACCTCTCGGGGTTCTTTGTTACAAAGAAAGACAAGACCCTGCGCCCTTGCATAGACTATCGAGGACTCAACAACGTCACCGTCAAGAACAGGTACCCTCT